GAGTGTGCTCCCAGGGGGCTGGTGGTGTCCCCACGGGGCTGGTGGGGTCCCCGCAGGGCTGGCAGGGCTTCCCATCTTGCAATCCACAAGCCCACGCTTTGAGCAAGACATGTTGTGCTACTGGGGTTAATTGGGCTGGACTGGAGCATCTCCAACGGCAGGGAAAAGCCTGGGGGGGCTGATCGGGGGCTTGGGGCTGGCTCTGGTGCTGGGTAGCCCCAGCAGCAAGGGCATGTCCTCCTCTAGTGTGTTCCAGCTCTCCCATCAGAGGTACAAGCCCTTCGTCTTCGCTGCAGAGACGCTGGCTGATCTGAGCATGTGAGTAATGCGCTGGCCGGTGACAGTCTGTGCTGGTCCCACCGCCCCGGGCTGGCCGTGACCCTCTGTCTGTCCGTCCATCCTTTCTTTCCCCAGGTGGGTCAGTCGCCTGATAACAGCCAAAACGAAGTACACGCTGGCCCACCAGTCGGTCCCGGACAGGGAGGAAGGTAATGGGCCCTTCCTGGGGTGGGAGATTGGGGGGCCCAGTGGGGCACCCGTGGCTGGAGCTGTGGCCCCTGCGTGGGACCGTGGGGAGCTTTGCCCATGATTTGGGGAAAATGTGAGACCTTCCTCTCCCACCATCCTCCCCCCCGTGGCCTCCAGACTGCTACAGCGAGACAGAAGCCGAGGACCCCGATGACGAGTCCCCCAGGCATGGATGTGACTTGGTGAGTGGCCCTAGGGGACATCCCAGGGAGGGGACAGAGGATCCTCACCTCACCCCCTGCCCCGTCTCTCCCTCAGCCAAAGAAGAGGCTGCAAAACACCCCAGAGAAATCCCAGCTCTTCCCAGCCAGCAGCGAGCCCAGCAGCGTGGCCAGCAGCCCCCAGGGCAGCCCCCGGCCCAGCTCACCCATGGGTAGGTGCTGGGGGGTGACATCTGTCACCTTGTGTGCACCCTTTAATCAAAGTTAGGGCCACCATTTTGCACGTGTGTGTGTGCTGGGGGGCTAACTCCAGTTGGGATGTATTTGAGTGTGAACCACGTACCATCTCGGGATGCTCTCGGGGCAGGGTCACACCTGGGGGCAGCTCCATGGAGTTTTGGGGCTGCCCCCCTGCTACAAGAGCCTCCTCAAAAAAAAACGCCGGGGAGGATCTCGAGTGCCTGATGCAGTGTCTGAAGCAGGGGGGGGTGTCCCTCATCGGGCGACAGCGGTTCCTGACACAGGAGCAGTGCCGCAAATCCTTCGTCCGGCGCAACAAGAACCCCCACATCAACGAGAAGGTGCACGCGGTGCGAGCCCTGCAGAGCACGCTCAAGGTGGGAGCCTGTAGCCCCCTGATTTCCCCCCTCCAAAGCCCCCTTCCCATGGGTTGACACCCCAAAACCTGTCCTTCCTCTCTGCAGGCGAAGCTGGAGGAGCTGCAGGCGCTGGAGCAGCTGCTCAGCGATGCTGCGCTCACCTCGGAGAAGTTCACGCGCTGGAAGGAAGAGCACCAGGAGCTGTACCAGGAGCTGCGGGAGTGGGGGGCACGGCAGCACGGCCAGGATGATGATGAGGGGCTGGGGGCTGAGCATGGACCCCCCGAAGAGGCGGCCGAACCCTGACAACGCACCAGGACCTCTCTGGCATGAATTGTTGCTGATAAAAATCACGGTGCTGCAGGAGCAAAGTGCTCTGCCCGTGCTGGGGGGGTTCGCAAGGGGATGAAGGATATTTTTGAAGGCTCAGCCCCCAGCGTGGACTTGTCACAGGATAAGTGGCTTCTGCTACATCCTTCCTCCCTGGGGTGGGACACTACAGTGACAGTCTTACTTTATTCAAGGACATTTTGCCTCAGCTGCATATTTGCACCAGGGGCATTTTCCTGGAAGAACGTGCCCCCGCCACGCACACCAGCCTGGCCAGGGTCTCTTCTGCTGTAAATAAAACTGTGTCGATGAGGGCTGATTGTGCCGTGGTTCTTGGTGATGAAATGTCCCTGCAGTGACCGCCAGCCCCTACCCCTGCCATGTGCAACCATCCTCAAGAGGCTGTGACATCCCTGGCACCTGGGGATGGGGTTGGGGGACAGGGACAGGCTCTGATGGTGGTCCTTGCGAGGCCAGGGAGGGTGATGAAGCGGGGAAGGTGCCCCGGAGACGGCTGGGGTACTCTGGGAGCCTTGTGCAGCTCCCAAGGGACAAGGGGAGAGTGCGAGGCAGGAGGGGGAAGGAGATGGGGTCAGGCTGGAAATGGCAGATGGGTTCCGCTCCTCCCTGTGCCACCCGGCCCCTTACAGACGAGCTATGGCTGGGGAGGAGGACGCTCTTTATTTGGTTGCAGAGGCTAAAACCTAAGGATTAAAGCACAATCAAGTAACAAGCAAGAAAGCATTGACACCAGCTTGCTTATAAGTGAAAAATTACCGATGAGGAGGTAAGATGGGGATGGATCCACCTCTTCCACACAGTGAGAGTCCAAGGGAAGTCCAGGGGTGCAGGACGGCCACGGTGGGAGGCTGAGGAGCTGCTGCCACCCCACAGCGATGCTCACAGCAGGAACCAGTCTGTCCCAGTTCGTCAATAATCCACCTCATAAGGCGCAGCAGACAGTCCCCCGATGAGCCCCCTCTTCCTGCAGAAGCTGGTGGCCAGCCAGATGCCAGCCAGCACCTCCAGCCCAGGTAGAGACACGTTCCCAGGTGGAAGTGGTCTGCTGGGGGGGTTGGCCAAGTCCTCCAGCCCTTGATGAGCCATGTGGGAAGCAGCACCCAGGTACCAAAATGCCCACCAGCAGGAGCCCAGCAGTGCCCACCAGCTTGGGCCGTGGCGGGGAGACCCACCACCGTGCCCCCAGCATGGCCAGGGCCCCCAGCAGCAGTGAGCCCACGGTGGCTCCTCTCAGCACCTCCATGGG